GATCTTCGAGACGCTGCACGGCGGGAGAGGAGTTACATATAGTGAAAAGTGTTAGCTATACGAAAAAAGTGGTAACTGATATTCGCAGTTACACAAGTGATAAAATCAACTAGTTTTAGTTGATTAATAGCTGCTAGTCAGTAGTGTTAGAAAACCTGCTACTACCAATAGATATTTTGATACTACCAATAGATATTTGATACTACCAATAGATATTATGATACTAACAATAGATATTTGATACTATCAATGGATATTTTGATACTACCAATAGATATTTTGATACTACCAATAGATATTTTAATACCAATAGAAATTTTAATACTACCGCGCATTTTAATTAAATCTGTTAAAATATATAGTGACCAACAAATAGTGAACAACTGTAGTTGAACAACCGTGTTCAACAACCGTGGTCAATAAATAATAGTTATAAAATTTTGCGACTAATCACTCAGTCGAACCGCTGGCCACTCCCTTGCTATTTTAATTTATAAATTGTGCATTTTAATTTTGAACCTCAGTCCACAGTTTTCCAGCAGCACCCAAAGAGACGGCAGTGAAAGTATCCTCCGGAACCTATAGGTGTAGGACGTGAGCGACTCGCGGAGTATCTTCGACAACATTTACTCCGGAGAGTTACGCCCGTCCGGCACAATAAGTCTGTCGAGCAGTTCTTAATAGATTCAGCTATATTCTTTCCTATGTTCACAAAATATTCATTTATATCATTAATCGACTTCCTAGGATCATTAGAAAGAAGTTCTGTAGCTGGAGCTTTGATTTTAGTCGTGTGAGTTATGTTCTTTATTATTTCCCACAGTTTTTTGCTATTAGATTTAGCTTTACAAATTTCCGCCTTTTCATATTCTTGTTTTACCTTCTTTAGTATATTATTACAAAAATTCCTATATCTAGTGTAGGTTGTTCGAAGAATTGTGTCATTAGGATGGTTTCTTAATTTAATATGTAAATTGTCCCTATTTTTCATGCATTTTAGCAAGCCACGAGTTATCCAAGGTTTTATAGTTCGTTTACGTCTCGAGACCGTTATGTTTTTAGTACATTTGTCAATAGCTAGATTAAGAGTATTGATTAAAATAGTAACTGCATCATTTACATTTGGCATTAAGTATACAGGTTTAAAATCAAATTCATTAAAAGTTAAATCTAAGGCCTTATAGTCAATTTGATTAATTGTTTTGTAATGAAAATTACTTTTACATGTCCAATTTAGGCTAAGGATTATGCTATAATGATCTGTGATGGTAGTGTGAGCAACATGACAACGTGCGCGTAGTTTTGTTTTCAAAATTATGTGATCCAAACAGGTATGGGTATGTGTTGGGATATTAAAACCTGGTAGCATACCATGAGAGGCTAATATATCAAGGTAAATATGGGCTCTAGAGTCTTTTGATGAGGATGATATATTAATGTTTATATCTCCTGTCAGTATTATATTTTTATATTGTGCTATAAATTTGTATATTGTGATAGTAATAAATTTTGAAATGAAATTTACTTGTTTTAATGCTTTTTGATTTAAGACTTTCGCAAAGTACATACAAATAAAATGTACATTAAAAAAACAGCTAGGTATAAAAAATATGTTTCTGAGATAACCTTAAAATACCACAAACTGTTTATATTAAAATAAAAAATAAATAAAAAATTTTACTATTAAAAAGGTATTAAAAATATTAATATAAAAATATGTTAATACTTTCTACTTTTCTTTTTTAATAAATTGTTAAAAAAATTCGAAGTCTTGTGTTAACACACATGGCACATCCAAATGCCACATCTAGTTTTTCCTAAAACATCGAATGATCGTGGAGTCAAACAAAGAACCGTTTGTCTGCTCGAGGGTGCTAGTTTCTTTACCAATCTAACAATTCAACCGAATTTGAACTTTATTCAGTATGGCAAGCTTTAGTTCCTTTTTTTGCCACCGGCAAAATAGAGAACTAGAATCGATAACTGAGGGCGTCTCAGAAATGTACACCATTATACTTATTGCGTATTTAAATTGAAATATTGCACTTTATCCTCATTTTGATATATTAAAACTGAATCATGAACAATTATACATATGTCAACAACAAAACTGACAGTAAAAACTAAAATTTTATATACATTTCAAGTTCGCTTTCCGCAACCTGCATGCCTGCATGTTAGTTCTAAGTTAGCGGTTTGCTTCATACAAAATTAAAAAGCCATTTCACACGTACTACCCAGGCATTGTTTTAACATAATTTACTACACAATCAATTTGTGCGAAATAATTGCAAACAACTCCGATGTTAGCATGCGTCAATCACACTGATGGCTGACTCAAGGGACAGACGAAATCAATAGATGATATAAATATAAAATCCTACTAAATTGTGTAAGCTGTGGGGTTTTATGCTATCCTTTTTTATCCTGTACACATCGACATAAGGTAGAATGAGTTAGATATAGTGATTAAGGCTTTATTTCTTCATTAAAAAAGCGAGTAAAAAATGTCTTACACTTGGACACCCGCAGTCAACGGAGATATTTTCGTGTCCAAGTGTTAGACATCCACAGTTGAAAGGATATATCAATAGTGCAAACGTAAACAATCTCTTTATGAATCAGGGTGAAAGTGAATTTTTGATGAATGTATCGTTCGTGACATTTCTAATTTTTAAAGATAATTATACATTGTAACTTAAGGCTCAGAAGGGCTAGAACCCAGAGCCGTAAAGCCAGTTATAAAAAAAAGATTAGAGAAGCAGAGAATTAGGGATATCGATGTTGTAGAAACGTCGATGATGACATCGCTAGCCGTAGATAGAGGATTGAATGGGCAGCGTTCGGGAAACTACGACACATCTCCTCGTTAGACATACCTCAAAACCTGAAAACGAAACTGTACAATCAGCGCGTGTTGCTAGTGATGACTTACGGATCTGAGACGTCGTCCTTCACTGCTGGCCGTATGAGGAAGCTCAAGGTCGCTCAGCGAGTTATGGAGAGGGCTATGCTCGGGGTGTCTCTGCGTGATAAACCAACATAGCCCAACGGATTAGTAAGCTTAAGTGGCAGTGGGCCGGCCATATAGCTCGAAGAACCGACAACCGATGGGGAAGAAAGGTTCTCGGGTGGCAGCCTCGTATCGGTAGGTTGAAGTGTAGGGCGACCCCCCACTAGATGGAGTGACGACCTGGTAAGACTTGCAGGAAGTCGATGGATGTAGGTGGCTCAGGACCGTGCTTTGTGGTATTCCTTGGAGGAGGCCTATGTTCAGCAGTGGACTTATGAAAGGCTGTAATGATGATATAATGATGACGTCTGTTATATTAAAATAAATATACAAAGTATTACAAAGTGCCAACAAACTTGTTTTTATTATAATACATTATTTTGCAACAAGAAATATTCAAAATTTTAACGGTCCTTTTTGAAGTGGGTAGATAACCGCTCAGATAGCGTTGTTGTAGTGATTGTGGTTAAATATAATTTTTTTTGCAATTTTTTTTTAATTTTAGATAGATAGAAACAATAATATTGTTCGAAACGTGCATTGCGTCGTGTTTAAGATCAACCATCGGTTTTTTTTAGAAACAACCGATAAAGTAACAGAACCAACAACGACACCAATAACAAAACGAAATCAGTGACAACTGTGACATTACAGTTGACACTTGACAGTTAAATCTGATACACCATAGTGATATATTTTTAGGTTATCGATTCGTTCGACAACTGATGCCGGGGTTGAGCTGATTAAATATATCTTTAATGCATGGCAGAATTCACAGGATGCTTTGGGTATATTTTGTGACCTATCCAAGGCCTTCGATTGTGTTTACCATGAAACATTAATCAGGAAACTTCAACACTACGGTGTAAGAAGTGATGCTCTTAAATTAATTGATTCATATTTAAGTGAGAGAACGCAATAAGTTGTCATTCACAATATGAGCTCTTCCGGATCGATGGTGCAAATGGGCGTGCCTCAAGGCTCAATTCTCGGCCCCTTTCTGTTTCTTGTATACATTAATTACTTACCTTACATAGTAGGGGATAACCATGATATAGTATTATTTGCAAATGACACTTCTTTAATTTTCAAATTAAGTCGACAATTACTAAAATATGACGAAGTAAATAATGCTATATCTAAATTAGTAAATTGGTTCAATGTTAATAATTTGCATTTAAATGGCACTAAAACGAAATGTATGAAATTCATGACTCCAAATGTCAAACAATTAAATACTAATGTAATTTTAAATGGGGAGAAGACTCAGTCTTGAAGATACCACCATTTTTCTTGGAATCACACTAGATGCGAAGCTTCAATGAAGCCCCCATATATCAAAACTAGCAAGCAGACTAATTTAGTGATCGCTACCAAGCTATTTCTAATTTGTTGTGTTGTTAATTTGTACAACATCATGATTATAAGCTATTATTTTTAAAAAAAGGTCCCGCTGGATTTCTTGCTGGTTCTTCCCAGGACAGAGGTTTTTTCCGAACCAGTGGTAATCAAACAAAAGAGTGACTTTCAATAAGTATTATTTATAATCTATATTGAATAAAAAAGTTTCTGTTTCTGTTTCTGTTCAAGCATTCCGAATTATTCAAATTTTTAAATATTTTAGAGGAGATGCAAGATTTACGGGTGTATTCATAATCATTTTTAAACAGTTCATTAGTTAAAAAGTGTTCTGTCACTTTCTAGCAACAAGTATCTCGCAAATGTCAGAATGAGACAAAACACTTTTTAACTAATGAACTGTTTAAAAATGATTATGAATACACCCGTTAGTTGATATTGATTTCGCGGGTTCGCAGTGTTCGCAAGTACCTAATAATCGATTATAGGTTTATTGACATCGATGTTTCGATGATTGGCATGTGGCAATATCGATGTCTTCATTTTTGACATCGATGATAATCGAACATCGATGATCATCGAGTCGAGCATCACTACAGAGATCACTACATCACTATAGAGAATCCTTACCCATGAATTCAGATTTCAGAATTTCAGAATAGCAAGATAAAATATAGAAAAATGTGGGGCGATTCTCTGTTAATTGTGTTTATTTCAATATGCACTGCTTTTCTAGGAGAAGGTACGTGTGTATTTTTTAAAAAACAGTATGTAATTTTTTAATTTTCTGGAATTGTTTTCTAAGAAATTAATTTTTATTTCAGGATTAACATGGATACTAGTTTACAGAACAGAAAAATATCAAAAGCTTAAAGTAGAAGTTGAACGGCAAAGTAAAAAACGTGAGTTAATTAAAATATTACATTTATTGGATTCCTCTAGTCCTTGCCATCAAATATTGGTTTCAAACGTTTCAATTACAATGTACAAAATATATTACATTGTCCCTTTTACTTTCGGTTTGTCAGGTAGAAATAGCTTAAAGCAATATGACCACCGTTTGTAGTTCTTAAGTTTTCCGTTGTAACCACTTTGTATAAATGCAATAAAGAGTTATCTATCTATCTACAACTTAATTGTGTTATAAAGTACTTAGGTATTACTTCTGTAGTTAAATTATTACTCTTTTCTTTTATGCTATAAGTAACTGGCCTGCGGGTAATAAGGCCTAAGTAACACAAATCATATTTATAACTACCGCACTTGCTTAAGGATATAATAACAGACTCCTATTGCACGATAATGTCTCTACAAATTTGCAGAAACGTGCTACCCAGCGTCTTGCCACTAGAGTTGCATTATCTATCATAAGATATGACCGCACTGCACCAATAATAAAAATCAGTCCAAATAAATTGTAGGTATGTTTTGTAATATTACACTTAGCTATCTAAAGTTGTAATCTTTATCTTTATGAATAAATGCTTTGTTGATGTTGAAGATTTGAGTAACATATTGTGGTAAATTTTTTTAAATTTGGTTTTTCTTTAATACTTGATCGGCGGTTATTAAAGCCCACTAAATTTTACCATAGGCCTTATTATACTCCTTTTTCTCGTGTAGTTTTTTTGTATTGTTATGAATTTTATATCACTTTTAAATGTTATAAGTGCAAATAAATCCTAGGCTTTTATTATCAAACTAATGTCGTAGTCAGAAAAAGGTACGGTTTCAGCTGTCCAAACAGTGCAAACACAAAGTGTGTTGAAGAATTAAGACTTTGACATTAGAAGCTATCAAATTATGTGTAAATTATCTGGTCCTGAGCCTAAGCTCTCTCGGACCGTGTTGAATTGCCATTTGATGAGTGTGAGGGAATAGAAAGTGCACCTGTGCTTGCGCATACATTCAAATACTATAATTCTGTACTGTGCTGAAGGTTTAGTCTCCGGTGAGACTGGCCACTGTGACCGAAATTTGGTTGGGAGGACACTCAACCCAACCATAAACCCAATTCTCAACAACCTAACACTCAACTTAACTCGAGACATAACCTACGCACTGATGATAATCAAGAGGAGTGAGTTTGTTTGTCAGTTTGTTCATCATTATAATAATGACTAAGTACTGTTAGGCGAGGCAATATATATTTTGCTATTAAAGAGTACATGATTGACTATAACACCTGGAAATGAGGTGATCGCTATAATGCTGTTTCTAAATGTTTTCGTATTTAATTATACAACATATATTGTAAGTTAATATTTATAAAAATATCCTGCTGGATATTATTCTACTCTATTATATTATATTGTGGTCAATTTTTAGAGCTAATATGAAAGGTCCAATGCCGCGGTTCGAGAGAGAAAATCGGTTCTAGTCCTATGACACCTAGAGTTAATGCCCCTCTGGCCTCAGCTGCGTCGTTGCCCCTGGATACAGCTCAGAGCTTGCAGAACTGCTATACTAACTCTTACTCAAAACATTTCTTGCATGCCAAGTGTACAAAAATTGGTCTTAAAATAACAGTGTAGGTACATTCAAATTAGCAGCCTTTTAGAGCCTTCAGGGCTAAAAAGAAGAAGGCTGCTTCCTTATAAGTTTAAAACAAACATATTTTTTAAATGAATTATGGTAGCTATAAAAGTCTTCTAACTTAACTTATCCATTACTTTGTAATTGGAGAATATTACATTGTATATTGTATTTAGTAAAAAGCATTGTATTATTTCTTCTTCCTGTATTATCTAGTCTTTTTAATGTTAATTTGTGTATAAAACCTAATTATATCATACTTAATAACAAATATTTAATGAATTTTACCTTTAATCAGACACTATAATTCTTTAAAATTTACCCTCAAAATCAAAGACCCCCTCCCCCTTTTCCTTCATTTAAACAAAAATAAGATAAGGCTGACACACGATCACAGTAAGTGGTTGCTGTGGCTCATAGACATCTACATCTGTCCTCGAATGCGAATCAAAATGCAGATGCATTGTCACCCGTGAGGACTAAGATGGAATGCCTCATTTCCAGTAAAAAGGTTCTCCGGTTCTCTACACTCACCATACGAAACACAGCAGCGTTAAGCTACTGTTTTACGTTGGTATTCTGTGAGAGTATGGTCCTGCCTGATCAAGCCGACCCATTCGTGCTACAACTATACCAGTAATACAGCTGCAGGATGGCTCTACCACATTATAAATTCTTCATACTTTATACTGCATTTGGTACATATGTCTCTACATTTGTATGGTTTTATTTTCTAGTGGAAAAGCGTAAAGAAGCCCACGGTGACTCCTTAGACAAACAACACAAAAAGAAAATTGAAAGAGAAGAGGAAAGACTTAAAAATAATAATAGAGATCTTTCTTTGGTGAAAATGAAGTCTATGTTTGCAATAGGATTTGCTTTTACTGCACTTTTGAGTATGTTCAATAGCATGTAAGATATTTTTGTTTTAAAAACTATAAATACTTCAGTATTGTATGTTGGTTTTTTTTTTATTTCATTCTGAAAACATTTTCAGATTCGATGGGAGAGTTGTTGCTAAACTACCATTTCATCCCATTTCTTGGGTTCAAGGATTAAGTCATAGAAACCTTCCTGGAGAAGACTACACAGATTGCTCCTTCATTTTCTTGTACATACTTTGTACAATGAGCATAAGGTGAAATATTATTGACTATAATTTTAAAAGAATTAATGAAGTGTTTAAGTAAGATTCACAGATATTTCAGAGTTATTTTATTTTTCAGGCAAAATATTCAGAAATTACTTGGATTTGCTCCATCACGAGCTGCATCTAAACAAGGTGGAGCATTGTTTGCAGCGCCTTCAACTCAATTTAAATAAATATTAATTAAATACTTACTTTAGATTGAAATTCCTTGAGTTTATTTTTTCCTGTCATTTATTAATCATTGTAAAATATTAAAATATATAGACTACTTTTTACATAATGTAGTAGTGTATCATATTTATTACAATAAAAAAAAACTGAAATAAGTATATTATCAAAAAATCTTACTCCCCGCGGTAGGTATAGTGCCAAGAACGCTGGCTGCGTTTTCTTGCAGAGTAGCCTTTATAGTCTGTATGGGACTGCAATGGACTGTATGTGAATATAAGTTATTTACTGTGTTTATAAGGTGAACTACACTAGGGACGTTATGGAAAAAAAGATCGTACTCTTGACGATTATATATTACAATATTTACAAAGAGCGGAAATAATTACTATTGTTTTACAGGAGGCAGTCTTGACTATTTTTCTTGATTCTTCTTTCTTGATGCTTTTTTCTTGAGTGCCGCTGTCCAATTGAACGACTCTGAGCCCAAAACGCCCTTCTTATAGTCCCGTGGAGGGTGTCTCGGCACGAGAGTGTTCTTACAAGGTGTGCCGCATGCTGATTGGTCGGCGGCATCACGTGATGTTCGGGCGATGTGACGGGTGTGTAACGGGGTATGAAGGGGCGACTGGGCGGCGGCTCCCTTTGCCGTCCGTAACATCCTCCCCCGGCGTAGTATGCGAGCCTACTCTTCTTTCGAGTGGACGGCGATCTTCCTCACCGGTCGTCACAGTACTCCGCCTTTGGCTCGAATCTCCACATTGCGCACCACGCCGTCAGTTCCGGGAAACGTTCTTGTTACTATTCCGCTCGGCCACACGTTCCGCGGTAGGTTGCCGTCTGCAACCACGACGAGGTCGTCTTCTTTTATTTCTTGTCGCTGGGCGTCCCGAGGTGCTCCGCGCATGATCAGCGCCGGCAAATATTCCCGCACCCAGCACCTCCAGTATTCGTCGCCGAGCCCCTGCGCCGCTCTCCATGCACGACGATTGATGAATGAGCACGTCGCGGTGATAGGTAGGTCCGATGGTCCCAACATGATGAAGTGGTTGGGATTTAGTGCTTCTTGGTCGTTGACGTCGACCGGTACATGGGTCAACTGTCGAGAGTTGACCGTATTTTCCGCTTCTGTTAGTAATGTTGCTAGAGTCTCCTCTCTTGGGGTCTTCTGGTGGAGAGTGGCTTCCAGCGCTGTCTTCACCGAACGCACGAGACGCTCCCATGCGTCTCCCTGGTTGGGTGCACCCGGAGCGATGAATTTCCACTCCGTACGTCGAGTCAGCGCGAAGTCCTTCAGTTGCGGTGCCCACTCTTCCATCGTCCGTCGTAACTCTGTGTCTGCTCCATGAAAACTGGTCCCGTTGTCCGAGTATATGACCCGTGGCCACCCGCGCCTAGCCGTCATGCGCCGCAATGCTGATATTGCCGAGTCTGTCGTTAGGGAGTAAACTAGATCTAAATGAACCGCGCGCGTCGTCTAGGTAAACAATGCTACCCACGACTTTCCGTGTCGTCGCCCTAACGTTACCGAAAAAGGCCCGAAATAATCTACCCCGGTGTATGTAAACGGTCGCGCAAACGCCCCTAACCGTTCGGGTGGTAAGTCTCCTATAATCGTTGGCCGTGGTGTTGCCTTGCGTACCCTACATCGCAGACATCTCCGCTTCACTTCTCGTACGTCCATTTAGTATTACGGGTCGCTTTATCCGGTCGTCCAGGTCGGCTGCGTCGATCCTTACCCTGGCTCGTAGTATCCCGTCTTCAAGTATGGGGTCGAGCTTCCTCAGAGCGCTGCCGGTACCAGATTCTTCCCCTGCTGAAGTCGGCTGATGTCGTCAGCGAAGCTGTCGAGCTGACTGCGTTCCACCCACATCCGTTCTGCCTTCTGGATGTGCTGTTGCGTTAACTCTCGTGCCCTTCCTCGTATGGCATCGATGAACTGCAGTACTCGTGCTGTGGCCCTGAGCAATCTCTCGTAGGAAGAGAAGCGTTCTATCTCCGGCAGGTGTCCTTAATTTGGGCGTCCTTGGTGTCGCTCTGATGCGCCACAATTTCTTCCAACTCTTCATCCTCTCCTGCCTTCTCTTCTTTCCGATGAGGCCATTTGTTTTCATCTTCGTAGAGAAATGACGGTCGGGTGAACCATTGGTCGCTTTCTCCCTTGCTCACGAAGTTCATGCGCGTCGCCTGATCTGCTATGTTCTGTGTAGTCGGGTTCCATCTCCATTGATCGGGTGATGTTTTCTAGGCTATCTCCCCTAATCGATGAGCTACGTATGAAGTGTAACGCGCCGTATCGTTCTGTATCCATTGGAGCGCTGCAGAAGAGTCCGTCCAATATATGACCCTATCCGCTCTCATTCTGTTGTCGTCTTGTATGAATTTCGCGACTCGCGCCTCAATCAAATTTGCCTGCAACTCTAGTCGCGGTATGCTTTGCGCCTTAATCGAGACGACTTTCGCCTTGGCCGCCACTAATGTGACTCTTACCGTACCGTCGCGATATCGTATACGCTATACGCCAATATGCTGCAGATGCGTCCGCGCGTCCGCTTGCATCGTTAAAAATGTGAAATTGACGTTCTACCACTCCCCCCGTAGGAGCATAGCATCTCGGAAGTCGCAGTCGTGAAGACCTCGACGACTCGCGGCCACCTCTGGAATTCGTCCGCTGCCTCCTCAGGTAGTTCATCATCCCATCCGACCTTCTTACGCTACAGGTCTTGCAGCAGGATCTTCGCGGTAATGGTGAGGTAGCTAAGCAGTCCGAGTGGGTCAAAAACTGACATGACCGCACTCAACGCCTCCCTTTTGGTCAGTGGTCAATGGAGCATCTTCACATCATACGGCACCATATTCATGGATGTAATAAAGGGCAGGGCGTCCTCTTCAGCCATCCATAGTAACCCTAAGGTCCTTCCTGGGCCATCTTGCCTTAGGCCCACCTCCTTGGGCTTGCGCGCCAGCAGCTCCTACGGTTTATCCTCTAGTAAGGCTGCATGGTTAGAGTTCCATCCCGCTAACGTGAAGCCTGCCTTCTGGTGTACTTCGGTAACCTGCTTCGCTGTGTCCAAAGCTTCCTCTACCGTCGCGTAACTGTCTAGTCTAGGTAATCATCCATGTAGTGACTACGCACGACAGCGTTAAGCGCTAGCGGATGTGTTTCGGCGTGTGCGCGCGCGTTATCTAGCTGTAAGAATAGATAGGCAAGTTACGCTGACATATTATAGGATTATCCGAGGTCCGAAGAGAGGGGGAGGACACAGTAATCTAAAAACTACAATACTCACTTTACAAAAATTAACCAAAATCAAAACGGAGATATCGTAGCATACACTAAACAAAGTTTTGCTGTTCTGTTGAAGAAAAATTCTTAAATGATGCCACCTGTTTAGCTATTGAATTTAACAAGGACACGGTTGTGATAGGCATCTATAGATCTCCATCAAATAAAAACATCGATAATTATCGATCGATGATCATTAAATACATTACTTACAACTTACGCGAATTTTAGTAACATAATTTTAATGGGTGACATAGATGTAAAACTCAATAATGAAGATCGCAACTCCTTAGACTACCTAAACTTACTAGCAATTCACGGTATTATAAGTGGTCATACTTACGCAACTAGAGCTAATAATTGCATAGATCATGCGATGATTAAAGCTAAACTCCCATCAATAACAATCGTTTTAGAGAGTCCTTTGACCGATCACTCAGCGGTTATAACGTGTATAAGCTTAAATTACAAAACCAGTGTATTAAAAAATAATACACACAGTAAAATTAACTATCAAGGAATTACTGAGGAACTTAAAACTGAAAATTTTGACGGTAGCTAATAAATCCTGATGATGTTAGTTGGTCAGTCGAACAGTTGGTCAAAGTTTTAAATACTTCAATTTTAAATAACACACTTATAATCTTACCACCTAGAAGATTTGCATCGGAAGCGAGGTTGCACAAAGCCAATCGAAGTACCTCCCTACACTATTTGCATCGTCCGACTTCGATCTACTTCGCGAGTAGTGTACAGGAGGCATATGTATAGTACAGTGGCGTAGCGTGCCTTCGATGGGCCCTGTATCAAAATGTGTTGGGGGCCCCAATGAAGAGTAAAGATTTCATAAAAGGAACAAACACGCTTGCATTGAATTCAAATGATTATATATTGATTTTAAGTTATTCACCATCATCATTACAGCCCTTCATAAGTCCACTGCTGAACATAGGCCTTCCCCAAGAAATGCCACAAAGCACGGTCCTGAGCCACCTGCATCCATCGCCTTCCTGCATATCTTACCAGGTCGTCACTCCATCTAGTGGGGGGACGCCCTACACTTCGTCCACCGGTACAAGGCCGCCACTCGAGAACCTTTTTTCCCGATCGGTTGCCGGTTCTTCGAGCTATATGTCCGGCCCATTGCCACTTCAGCGTACTGATCCGTTGGGCTATGTCGGTGACTCTGGTTCTACTGCGGATATCCTCATTACTAAGTTTACCACGAAGAGAAACTTCGAGCATTGCCCTCTCCATAGCTCGCTGAGCAACCTTGAGCTTCCTCATCCGGCCAGCAGTGAACGACCACGTCTCAATACCATATGTCATCACTGGCAACACGCACTGGTTGTACAGTCTCGTTTTCAAGTTTTGAGGTATACCTGACTAGAAGATGTGCCGTAATTTCCCGAACGCTGCCCAGCCGCGTCGAATCCCTCGATTGACCTCTCGGTCGAAGTTGGACTTACCTAGTCAGACTATAATATGTCCCGTTACTCACACTTACGTGTGGCTCCAACGATGACGTGGACAGCGCCGATAGAACCTCTCAATCTCACTCAAAAACTAAGGTGTCCTGGAAACGACGCTGCCTCACTCGATCTTCAGCTTCGACAGTTGGCTCTTTCTGGCAGACAGATCTCGTGCAAAGACTTTGGAGCCTTGGTTTCGCTCGATCGTTTCTTTAATACGAGCAGTATTAAAGATTAAAGTTGCGTAAGTCTCGCCGCATGCATTTGGGGATCTGTCTGTTCAGTTGCCTGTATGCTGTCAAATCTACTGAAGACTACACCTATATATCCCGTCTAACAGCCATGAGAGTGTTATCGGAGAGTTTTTGTGTTCTTCTGCGGCGGGTCTTGCAGAACTTAGCTCCGACCGCATGGACAGTTTCCACGAGCTTGTCATTCATATCGTCCATTGCATTGCAATCTTCTAGGCACTGAAAACGGTTTCGTAGCTCGAGCTGAAATGTTTCGGGACTTTAGATTAGGGGGGGGGGGGGGGCGGAGCATTGACTTCATTAGACGTGACCTCTCCAACTTAACGTTTAGGTTTAGTGTGCCTCTCACCATTCGGTGATCGCTGCCGGTTTTCACCCTCACGATCACTGGGACATCACTGAAAAGTTGTCGTCTGGTCGTCATAATGAAGTCAATCTCATTTTTTATCGAACCGTCGGGGCTCGACCAGGTCCACTTCCTGTGGGACCGCTTCTGGAAGAAAGAGTTCATCATGAAGAGTCCCTCTTTCTCCATGAAGTTGGCTGCTGGCCCCTTGGGTTCCGTTGCCCTATTCCGAATTTCCCTATTTTCAGCTCACCATTCTCTCTTGCGCCTAGTTTTGCGTTAAAGTTTCCCATTATATATTATATCCCATTATATCCCGTATAGTGGGTTTTGGAGGAATGCATGGCTCTAGAGATATCCTCATACATTTCTTCCACCTCCTCATCGGCGTGTGCCGAGGTTGATGCGTAAACCTGTATGACCTTCAGCGAATACCGTTTGGTGATTCTGAGTATAAGGTACGCAACTCTCGTCGACACACTCCCAATATTTACAACGTTGTTAACGAGAGACCTGTGGACGATAAATCCGACACCTCCTTGGGACAGATGGTCGCCCTCCTGGTGATAGAACAAATTACCGGATTCGAGGATTACCGTGTCCTCCCCCTCTCTTCAGACTTCGGATAATCCTATGACGTTCCAGCGCAACTTGTCTATCTCTTCTTCCAGCTCCAGGATCTTCTCGTCAGTCCTCAGGGTGCGTGCGTTATAAGTTGCCAGGTTGAGTCGTCGTAGGTGGCAACAGAACCTCCACCGGAGTTTCTTAGCACCCCCTGCCCCGCTGTTACCATGGTCGCCACCTTAGCCAGGAATAGCAGGGCTGCCGGGGACTGGGGGCCATCTCTTCGTTACTTTCATGGGGGTATATTGCCATAGTTGCCACGCTTGGCGAGCGGGTTGGCAACCGCAGTTTTTTATTGTTGTTTTGCTGTTATCAGAAAGATACTGCTGCCCATCCTCTGCCTCAGTTTCCCTCTGTCGCCTTTTACGACACCCACGGGAAAATATGGGGTAGTGAGTATTCTTACCCGCCACTACACGGGTTTTTGTGTTATTACTTACAATTAATACTCCTAGGAACTAAGCTAGCCAAACAATTCAAATCAAATATACACTTTTCGTGCCTTTTGTTCGGCGAACATAGCTGAAGACGATTCGGCTGCATTCATAGCTGAAGACGATTTCAGTTTTACTAAATTCTTTACTTCTATAGACAATAGTGATAGCCTTTCCTGTCCCATAGAAGTCCTTGAAATTTTTGCTCACACACGTTCGAGGCCCCTGTAGCCCGGGGGCCCCGTATCATTGATACGGCTTATACGGCGGTAGCTACGCCCCTGGTATAGTATGAGTATATACAGGAACGCTGCCGTAGTATTGTAGGGTGACATCGCGCCGTATCATAAAATATATAGACTAGTAAATTAGAGTAAATGAACGCATTTGCATGATATATTTATTTATATTAATTATATATTTTATACTCATCAAAATACATTACATAATCATTGTAGTTCCTTAGGATTTTACCCCTCCGAGCATAATCACATGACTGCCTCAAGCAGTAGTTCATTGGGATTTTATCGGACTCAGCCTGCTGAGATACCTGCCTCAAGCAGCAGCTCTTTGGGATTTTATTTCCCCGGGCGAACTTTGATTAATCCTAGATATGTAGACCCTAAGCAAGTAATAATTCCATCCGCCAGTAACAGAACCTTGAAAATTCATAGAACTATTTAATAATAATAATCTTACCTTAATTTGTATTTTCAATACTGCATATATTGCCCAGCATACTTCTGGTATTAAATGAGAAATAGATGGTTTCGATACACGATGAAAGTGACTGAGGTTCCGAAATGACATTCCTGAAGCCAAAAATGTCAGTGTTATTTCGAGTTTTATTTTGGCTGGCAAAGCATCTCTCATGAATGTATCTTGACGTTGAATAGAGCTTGTTATCAATAAAAGAAATTCGTCAAAATTCTTCGGCGTTATTCTCAAAGCCTGTTTGAATTCCGCAGGATTTTCAAATTTCAATTGATTTAACAACAAAGCAGAATTTCCATTTTCTTTTCTGTCGTCTATCGATCCATTTTCTAATCCAAAGACGTTTCTTTTTACATATCTCTTCTAACATTTCCGTAAACTTTTTTAACAGCAGATAGAAACATTTTCTCAACAAATATTTTAATCGTTGTAAATTCTGCGTTTCCATGAAATCATTTTTGCCTACTGACTTTAATAACGTGTGTGTAAACAGTGTGAGTCAGCACTGGAGCCTGTTACCCATTGTAAATCAGCCTTAAAGCTAAAGGTTGTGATGTGAGTAGAACAATAGTTATATACGTAATTGATTCTGTTTAGCCCGTGTAAACTCACATTATTAACTTCTCGTTGAAGCACGGTGCTTTTCCAACACTCTGGCGTAGTCTTTGTCATTCCTCTTTCAAAATCCACCGAGTGCGGCCTTCTTTCTCATTTTAGACCAATTTCTATCTTGCCATTTTTATCTAATTTTTATTATTAAATTTAAAGCTGTTGGTCGTAAACAAACTTATAAGTACTTTTATTATCAAAAACAAGATTCTTTCCTCATATCAATCTGATTTTCGCCCTGGGCATGGCACAACAAGCGCCCTTCTCAAGGTTACTGAAAATATTCGAGAGGGCATGGAAAATTCAAAATTAACAGTTCTTATCTTAATATTTCTCAAACGCTTTTAATACTGCCGACCACTCTATCTTGCTAACTCTAATCTCTCACTTGAATATCTCGTCTTTAGCCCAGGATTGGCTTTCATCTCATATCTACGAGGGCGCCAACAGGCCGTGCGTTCTGGCCATGTTTCCAATCGAAGTGATGTATTAACCGGTATCTTTCCAACTTTCTTCCAACCGCTACAAAAAATTTGCTAGTTCAATCTCTTACTCTGTC